ATGTTACTCAGTAAAGGAAAATAGTGCTACTACTGACCTCCACAGCCTACTGATACTTAACTGTTCTTCTGTCTCCCTGACCCTAGATCCAGCTAAGATAGCTTTTGAGTTAAAATATGTATATATGCCAGTTAACATCCTATGGTTCCATGGGACACCTAGTGCACCTCTTAATAAATGGCTGTTGAATTTTATTGAATACCCATAACCTTATATAAGCATGCTCAATCAGAAAGTTCTTTACAAAGTAGACCACCCCTATGATATAGGAAAGCCACTCCTAATCAGGCCCCAGGATAATGATTATTTGTTGTTCACTACATTTCTCAGACACATAGTTGAGGAAATAATTGTTTCCCCCTTCATCTAGAGGTCATGAGAATAACTCCTTGAGGACAGGCACTTTGTCTTCTACCTTTTTTTTTTTTTTGCACATTTCTATGGTAAAGGGTCTGGCAAAGTAATAAGCACACTTTCCAAGCTTAGAATCAGAGAATGACATCTTTGAAACTGGAACTGACAAAAAGTCTTCAATTTGTAGATGAAAAACAATGCTCTGGGAATATGACTTGCAAAGAAATATGGGCTAAATTAATGTGAGAGCTCGGATAATTCTAAAACTCACAATTCCCCCTTTGGTGCCTTTCCAAAGCTCATGATTGATGCTTTGGCAGATCAATGGTTTGGAAAAGTTTTCCAAAGATCATGATTGATGCATTGGCAGATCAATAGTTGGAGCAATTCAAGACCACCGTGTGTATTTCAGGTCAGCGATGAGACAGACCTAACAGTCTTCATGGTACTCCACCAGGAACCTGAGAGGCATGTTCAGTTCTGACTCCACAGCTGCCTTGAAGCCCCAGAGAGAAGGACTGTACGGATGGACAATGGTCAGACAGGGTATGACAGCAGGGCTATGATCCAGCCACCTCTGCAGCAGCCAGTCATGGAAGCCAAAAGAGAAGCTCTGCAGCAGTCAGCCCGGAACAGTCTTGCTCGGTGACTGCCAGCTTCCTGGCTTTTTGTCCTTGCTTTCAATTCAGGACCAAGGAGAACAAGCCTAACATGCTCCCTAAACCAATCACAAGGATGCCCTCTTCTAGTTAGCCTGGCTCCCTTTCCCTCGTGCCAGCAACCTCCAATCAGGGTACACTGAGGACTTCTCTTTGCCTCCCAGTTCCCTGCCTGCCCTGGAGTTTCTGCCAAACACAAGGATGAGAGCTGGCCCTCTTGCTATAGGAAGCTCAGAATTAAAGGCCTTTGTTCATTCCCTTTTGGATGATCTTCTCTAATTTCCGCATTCCCCATCCCTTCCCTATTGTCAAATCTGTGGGCCTCCAACTCCTGATGGGAAATATCTATTCCCTCTTCTCAGTGAGGAGAATAATGAAAAGCCAGCTGTTTCTACTCTCAGTACACAAGCTGATCCAGGCTCCTTGTTGACTTGAACTTCTATCGGCTGCCCCACAGGGGTGGTTTCCACTGGACCCTCAATGTCCTCTGTGGGGATACTCTAGTTGGTGGTAGCTCCCAGGAGTGAGGGCAGTGTCCATTTTCCTTTCACACTGTCCACTTGTACAGCCCACGTCTACTCATGAAGCACTGTGCATATTGCCTGGTCATAGATAGTTACTTATTTTTTTCCCATTTTTATTTTTTAAACATTTTTTATTTAGTTATAGTCATTTTACAATGTTGTGTCAAATTCCAGTGTAGGGCACAATTTTTCAGTTATACATGAACATACATACATTCATTGTCATTTTTTTTCCATCGTGAGCTACCACAAGATCTTGTATGTATTTCCCTGTGCTCTACAGTATAATCTTGTCTATCTATTCTGCATATGCCTGTCGCTTATTAATGTTAACATTATCACCATCATCAATCATCACCATCAAAAACACCATGTGTAAAATAATTCAAGCAGTCAAAATTATTTTTAAGGCTTACACTATCTTTCTTTAAGGGTGATATTTTAATCTATGTTTTTATAAGTTTTGCACAGCCTTGCAAATATCTATTCCTGTATAAATCTAGGCCAAGTAAAAGTGAATGCTTAGCAACAGGTGAGCATTAGTATAATAACTGACCTCTGGATTGTAGTAAAATAAAGAGTATCCCAAAGCACTTAGCACAGATAGAAATATTATGGTTACAAATAAGCTTCTTAGCAGAAAATCTTAAAAATCCGAGCCCTGGAGTCATTTCTCCCTTTACTTCAGGCTCTTGTGTCTGTGGGTGCTGCATTTCTGATTCCACCAATCTTGGAATTCAAGGCTAGGGACCAGACTATATGATGTCACTTTATGTGAGGGACTTCAGCATCCATGGATTCTGAAATCTGAATCTGTGGGGTTCCTGAAGTAAATCCTCAATGGATGCGAAGAGACAGCTCTTCCTGACTAGCAAGTGAAATGGAGCCGAGGGCTCTTCTGGGTGAGTTGCCTCAGACTTGATGACTCCCTTTAGAATGATCTTGGAACTTGAAATATTCTAGGTTAATCCTAATCTCTACGTATGTTTAACTCTAAGTGTGAAAAGGGGCTCACCTTGGGAGTCTTCTCATCTCAGAGGAAAGCACAGGGTCTACTATTCACAGTCATTAAAATCAGACTAATTTGCCTCTTGGTGACATTTATAGGAAGTCTATTTCCCCCTCATTTCTGTTTATCTATTTATTTGTTCTTATATTTAAGTGTCCATTCTTTACTTGGCACCTTGCTAAATGTTCAGAATATAGTATTTAATGTGGCTTAATCCTTGTCTTCAATGTGCTTCAGGTATATTTAAGGACATAGAGAAGGAGAAATCAATAGTGTAAATGTGTAAGTATTTATAGCCTATCTTCCCCTCCCTTCAAACTCCATCTTCCCAACTGATGATTCTTGCTTCATAGTCATCTCCACACCTCTCAGTAAAGCAAAAAGAAAAAGAAACCGAAATAATGTAGAGATGCTAAGTCAATCATCATAATCAAGATCTATGATGGAGATGAAGAAAGAAGAAAGAAGAACCACATGGGCTAGGTTTGGAAGAGAGTTTTGGAGATGAGAGAGAAAGGCCCAGCAAAGAGACTAACTTGGTTTTGCTTTTGTTGTTCCTGTTGTTTTCAGCCTCCCTCAGGCATGAGAAAGATATTAAAAATAAGAGATACAGCTAAAGAAAATATTAAAAAAAATTTTTTTTAAATTCTAAGTGCACCCATTGGTAGCCCTGGTATTTTTGCAAGAGAGCAACATTTTGAATTGCTCTCAGCAGTTATCATTGAAAAAGCAATACTGTTCAGAGACTGGGCCATATGGAGCCCAGTGATGTTCCAGTTACAGAGATAAGTGAGTAATTACAGTCCACAAGTATCAGTGCTTGGTCAGGGAGACGCAAGGTGCTGCAGCACAAGATAGGGAAGGTATCTGGTGGATAGAGGAAAGATTCTCAGAGGAACAATATCTAAGCTGAGATACGAAGCTTGAGATATCCAGACCAACCCAGACATGGTCGGGGATCAGCAGTGGAGTCAGAGGAGCAGTAGGATTGCAAAGAACTAAGTGTTACTCATAATGGCTGGAATAGAGCACCTATGGGAATAAAGGGAGACGTAACCTTGGGAATGGCCTTTCCTTCAGATAGTTTTCCAACGCAGTCTGGAATATAACCTGAGGTTTCCTTTAACAAGTTCTCCTTTTAATTGGATCCTATGCATCTCCTCAGTGAGACTGCAATTTAACTTCCACTTTGCTTAGGTGTTGGCTCTGGGGCCCAGGGCCATATTGTCCGTGGAGGAGGCTCGGCCAGTAAGTGAATTAACTAATTAGTTGCCGCTTATTATGTGTCCTATGTACGAGGCTCTGTGCATATATCATGGTCAATTCTCACAATAACCCTAAAAGGTAAGGTTTTGTTTGTCTTACTTAAAGAATGAATAAACCAAGGCTCAGAGTCCATTAACTTGCACAAGATTGCACATCACAGTGAAGACAGAAGCTACACTGGTTTTCACTATCTTAGACAGCTTTATATCGCTATAAACACTCAAGGTCTCCATTTCACTGTCGGGTTCAGTACAAGTTTTAGCCCTTTTTCCTCACACCCCACATAGTAGGTCTTCCTCACACTCACCCAGCCCTTTTGTGCCTTGCTACTTAGTGTGTTCAATAACTTCTAATATCACTTAATGAGAGAAAGGACCTTGTGAGTTAGAAAGGCTTTGCCATTCACCAAGTCTGTGACCTTGGAAATCTTGCCTTAATCTCCCTAAGACTCTGTCCCTCATCTGTTACACAGGGATTCAGTGGGTACCTATTTCATGGGCTGTATAAACTTTTTCAATCTCAACCTGTTTTAGTCTTTTTTTTTTTTCTTTAGGAACTTTGTCTCTGTGACCACATTCACTTAGTTTATTTGAGATAGCCCTGGATTCTTAAGTTAACAAAACTCCAGCTGGTTATCCATCTTGGCATGTTATCATATACATTTATGACATTTTAAAAAAAAATTCAAGATTTTCTTTTCTCTCTCTTTCTGAATAGAAACAAATTCCTTTGTTCTACCGAGGCCCTTGTGGTGGAAGTAATCAAAAGAGTTATAATCCAGAAAACACTGCTATGCTGTCATTTAGAATTCATGTTACTTTACACAGGGAGTGAGTACAACATTACTGGAGGCTTGAATCAGCCCGGATTCCCCATTATCTCCTCTTTTCACCCAGTTAGTTATCAAAGGGCCAATAAAGGGAGGAAATGCACATAAAGGGAACATTGTGCCTTTAAGAAAAATCTCTCTGCCATTGCCTTTCAGGGTGATGATTTTGATCTGAAGAATGCACTGTCTCAGAAGGATGCAGGATGCCGAGGCAAATGTCACAGTAAATAATATGTGGATTGTCTCTTGGTATCCTGAGCACCAGGCTCAGACCCCAGGCGCTTCTCTCTTATGATGCTCTAGAGGAAACTCCAAGTCTAGCAGAGCCTTATTGCAAGATGAATTGGAGAATCTTTCTTTTCCTGCTGACTGAGCTATTTCAGTTGTGACAAGCCCAAGTAGAAAATGCCTTTGGGACCGAGGGTTAGTGCAGAATGATGGTGTAACCAGCCAATATGACTCAGGAACAAGGAGTCACGTGTTTTTGTCCTGGGAAAAGCACACTCATGTGCACACACATCTGACTGAGGACTCCAGCATTCAGGAAGTAGAATTACAGGTTAAGTTTGTGCAGAGATAAGAAAATTTGTATGAGACTTGTATTTTGATTTGTATGACACTTGTTTCATACAAATGAGGTTGTATGAAGCTTCTCTGGAAGCAGAGCCAAGATGGGGATTCTGATGAATGTGGTTTATTGAGGGAGGGCTCTCAGGAGAAGAGGAGTCATGGAAGCAGGGGGAAGCAGGAGGAAGAGCTGAGCAAGGATGTGGTCTTCTCTGGAGATGAATCTCAGTTTGATCACATAGGGAGCTCCAGAGCATGAATTAAACCACAGTGTTGTTCCCTCCTAGAGACAGGGGGCTGGGTGTTTTGTATCTTTAGCAGGTAATTCCAAGGGTGGTGATACAGAACCTCTCTAGTGAGACTGCTCCATTATGGCAGAGACCAAATTCCAAAGAAGTGTGCAGCCTGGAGATGTTCAGCAGAGAAAGGTGAATAGGCACGCTGTCTTGATAAAAGGAACCCAGGGAACATCCACTGCACTTGAAGTAGCTTTATCCTTTTAATATGTGTGTACCTGTTGATGGAGAACATTTGTCTATCTATCTATCTCTGCATCTATCTTCTAATTCGTATCAGTCAACCTACCAGTGATCTATTTCAGGCTTTCCTTACATGGTGCTGTCCTTGCTGTCCTCACACCAGGTTATTTCCATTCGTTTCTATGTACCTAAACTACCTCTCTAAATGACATTTTTAAAAGCAAGTTAAAATGTAGCATAGTTATATTACACAGTTGTACAATAGGCTTTTGGTGCTCTGTTATGTTAAACCAAAAAAAAAAAAAAAGAGAGAGAGAGAGAGACACTTAAATGTACATCAGCTAATGGGACAGAATTGCATCTCAGCTATGAGAAGATAATTTATCCTTTTCTGGTCTGTCATAAATTACTAGCCTAAGCATTTGATTTATAAGATGTGAGAGTCTAAAAAGGGCTATTTCCATATGCAAGATGAAGCTGTTAAACAATGAACCTGATTTTCAAAACCTGTATACAGAAATCAGCCTTAAAAATGTGATATTCTCTCTATGGTCCTGGCCTGGAAGTAAGGAATTTGCCTGCCATTCTCCTCACTGCTCTTTCCAGTCCATCCCCATCTCTGCTCCCGAAAACACTGGGCATGAATTTCACATTACAGCAGTTGTCTGTTGCCAAACAATGCCTCATAATAAGCCACCCCAAAAACCAGAGGCTTAAAGTAATAAATTTTTTTTCTTTTGTTGTTATCAGGTGTTGAGGTTTCTGGTTTAGGCTAATGTATTATTTATTTCTTCATAACAAATTATCCTCAAACTTAGCCATTTCTTTGAGTCAGGAATCTGGTGCAGTTTAGCTGGGTCCTCTGGCTCTAGGTATCTCACAGGATGCAATCAGTGTTGGCCAGGGCTGTCATCACTTCAAGGCTCACCTGGGGTTCAATCCACAGCAAGCTTCCTTGTGTGAGTGTTGGCAGGCTTTATGTTCTTGTTGGAACCATCACTTCCTTACCAAGTGGGCTTCTCCACAAGGCTACTTACAGCACAACAGTTTGCTTCACCCAGAGCAAGGATCACAGGAGAGAAAGCAGAAGAGTGAACAAGACAGAAATCACAGTCTTCTGTAACCTAACCTTGGAATTGACATTTCACCACATTGTTTATTCTCCTTGTTAGAACAAGTCACTAGGTCCAGCCCACACTTGAGGGAAGGAAGCTGCACAAGGGCATGGAATCCAGAATCATTGGAAGCCATTCAAGATACTGCCCATTACAGCCGTGTTCAGCCGGCTAGTTTCCTCTGCTCTTGACTGGACTCAACCTATATCTGGAGGTCAGTGGCTGTTGGCTGATCAAGATGTTTGTGGCTGTGGTGACTTTGCTCTGAGTCTGTGTCTTTCATCCTCCAGAAAATTAGCTGGGAACATTCTCCCCGCAGATGCACAGGAGACCAGGCAAAAATGCTCAAAGACTCATGAGGCTTGGACTCAGAACTGGTATGCCATTTATTTCACTGCATCCTATTGGCCCAATAATTCATAAGACCAGCCCAGATTCAATGAGTGGGGAAATAGATTCCATACTTGAGAGAAGGTGCTCATCAGGTTGAAAAGACTTGAATACAGGGAAGGGCTAGAAAACTGGGGCCACTAATGTGTCATACTGGTACACATCTTCTTCATATTCTTGAAGCTGTCATTCATCCACCTAAAGGGCACTCCCCTTATTTCTTGAAGTTTTGTTACTCACTGTCACTTTATACATTGACATTTCTGTTAGAATTCCTGGGGATGTTGATGTCTACATAATTCAAGTTTCCCAGTGCGGGCACCAATGTCACTTAGGTGGAGAAAATTCTTTACTTATGGGAAAGTATCTCTTGGGTTGCAGGGCATTTGACTTCCCTGAATCCTGGTCTCTAAATGCCAGGTTTGAAAATGCCCCAACAGAGAGGAAGGTCACAAGTAAGCAAATGGAGGAGTCTAGAATGGTCCATGCGCTACTGAATTAGAGTTAGAGACGTGAGTATGAAGTCCATATACATACAGATGGTTGTATATAGAAATGCTTGTAGACATGGCTGTGTGTATATATATGTGTGTGTGTACATCTAGGTATATACATGTATGCATGGTGTATATCTGTGTATATATACATATATTTTTTCCTTGATCTATCAGCTGAAAGGCCTGAGGAATAACAACACTGTAGTAGCCACGAGCAAACCTACTACTCAGATCTTGATTTCTAGTGCCATTCTGCAATGAGAAGAATCAGAGCATCTTTGAGAAAATGGCTGATTGTAGACCTGGAACAGGAAATATACGGGAGGAACCTGGAGTATATTGTAGGACTAAAAGTGAGTGTTAAAAACAAACAAAAGCCCTCCCTAATAATGGGGTATATCAAAGGAACACAAGGGCCAAACAAGAGATTTCCCAAGGCTGGAATAATCTGAGTAACAAAGTAAGCAGAGCAGTATTGGATTATAACACAAAGTATAACATAAATATCCACAAGCTTACATTGATATAAATACATGGACAAATAAACAAATGGGGGAAAACAGACAAATGACTCCTGTAGAATTCCAAATAATTTATGTTGCCACTCTACACTTCAGTGTAACTCTTCATGGACTACAAAGAATGACTTCCTCCCCAAGCGTGTGGTTTGGAAAAAGAAAAAATAACCAATTTGTATTGAAGAAACATGACAGACGCAACCTCCATCAGGTTCTGAAGGTCAGTGTCAACAGTGGTCCACCATGTTGATAGCACACAACCTTTTATAGTGTGATGAGCATGGTGTTTTATCTCTGTGAGTCTACCCGACAAAACTCATAATAACCCCAGTCTAACTAACCCTAGAAAAACATCAGACGACTCCCAATTGAGGGATGTTCTAAAATCACCAGTTGAACTGGCCACGAAGTTGTTGAGATCAGCAAAAACTAGAAAAGTGAGAAACTGTCTCAGCCTAAGGGAGCCTTAGGAGATGAGGCAACTAAATGCAGCATGGTGGGTATCTTGGATGGGATCCTGACACAGAAAAGAAGTGGCAAGTCCAAACTATTCCTACCAGTGCACTGTGGACTTGAGTTAATAACAGTCTATCAATACTGGTTTGATACTTGCGACAAATTCATCATGCTAGTGTAAGATGCTAATAGTATGGGAAATGGATGTGGAGTATATGGAAACTCTCTGTATTAGCTTCATACTTTTTATGTAAATCTAAAACTATTCTAAAATGTAAAAGTTTATTTTTAAAAAATACCCTAACCCATTTCAACCCACCCCCACCCTCAGGGTGAGTAATAGTGCTCTTGTTTGAAAGATACTGACATCCCTCCAGTGCTGGTCAATTCCTTGAACTCTTCTCCTCCAGCGATCTTGTCCTCTACCCCCACTGCCCATGTCAGCCATTCACTCCGCCAGTCACACCCCAGACATTTTCATCACCATCAGTGAAAGCCCTTCATGGGCCTCAGTCTCAAGCATCTCTCTTCCTCCTGTGCTAATTCTCTCTTGTGCCCCTGCTCCAAAAATTCTTCAACCCCTGAGCAGGGAGCTTTGCTCCTACCACCTGTGCACCATCCCCAAATCTCCTCATGACCTTGTATCTCTCTTTACCTGGCATAGATTCTAGAATCGATCATGAGAATTGCTCCCTTGGATATTCTCTTAATTCCTTCATTTTCCTCTTGCTTTGACCTATGCACTTGGCAAGACTTCAGCCATAACTTAATTAGGTTCTCCAGCAATTCATCTTATGTACCCATTTAGCTGAGCACAGCTGGCCTGTGACAATAGTGTCGTCCTGGCCCACCCAGTGCACTCGCCTGCTCTCTTACCCACAACCGTCTTGTGCTTCTCAAGCCTCCAGCACAGCTTTTGTCAGACTAACTTTCAGCTGATGATACATCTCCTTATTTCAGTGAGAAAATAGAAGCATTCAGAAGAGAACTTCCACGAGCTCCCATCATCACATTTACCAACTCACGGCATCTGGGCCATTAACCCTGTTTTCTCCTCTGTTACTGTGGATATTCAATCATGTTGTCAACTCAGGCTAAACCATACCCTTATGGACTATATCCCACATTTTCTGTCTTTCTTTAAAACTATCAGGGGGGTATTTCCTCCCTCTCCTGCTTCATCAACATTTTCCTCTCTGCTGGACCTTCATTAGCAGTACACCAGTATGTTGTTATTTCCTCCAGCTGAGAAACAAAACTCTCTTGGTCCACTTCTCCCTCCAGCTCCAGCCCTGTTCTTTTTTTTTTTTCCCTTCCCTTTATAATTAAACTTTTAAAAGTGTCTAATACTCTATCTTCTTAATTTCTCACTGCTCATTCTCCCTTACACCCACTCTAAGTAGACCTTTTCTTGACTGCTCCACCAAAGTCCAGCTGCTCTTGTTAATGTTCCACATTGCTGAACATTGTGGTGGACCCTTGGCAACTATTTTACACCCCTCCTTGAAACACTTTCTTCATTTGGCTTCCAGGACTTCACACATTTAAGGTTCTGGTCTTACCTTATGGGCAGCTCCTTCTCAGCCTCTTGTTTTCTTGTATCTTTCCAATCTGTTAATACTGGATAATCCTAAGGCTCAGGACCTCTTCTCTCTCCACCTATGCTTCCTTTCTATGTGACCTCATTCAGTCTCCCTGCTTTAAAACCATCTATATACTTGTGATCCCAAATTTATATCTGGTTCTGTACTTCCACCCTGAATCCCAGACTCATACAATCAATTGCCTACCCGACTCTCCCTCTGGATGGCTAATGAATGTCTCAAACCTCATATGTCCTCCTGATGCTCCCTTCCCATGCCCAGCTCTGTTTTCCCAGAGATTTTCCATTTCAGCACTGAAAATCCCATCCTTCCAGTTGCTCAGTCTAAATGCTTGGTATCCAATAGAACTTCTTATTTTGTTCACACCTCAAGCTTGTGCCATCAGAAAATTCTGTTACTCTACCTCCAAAACACCCCAAATCCCACCCTTTCTCCTCATGTCCCCTACTACCATGCTGGCCCAAGTCACCGTCACCTCTTAGCTGGGCTGGCTTCATAGCTTGCTAATTGGTTTCCCAGCGTCTAAGCTTCCCCCTTTAGTCTATCCTCTACAGAGGTAACAGCTTTCTCCTGTTGAACAAGTCGGATCACGTTGCACCTTTCCTCAAAACCTTCCAGTGGGCCGCCATCTCTCTGGAGTTAAAACCAATGTCATTAAAATGGTCTAGCAGCCTACAGAATGTCTTTGATCAATTTTTTTTTAAATAAAGGTCCCAACTCTGGGCCTTCTCAGCTCTGCATACCTAAACCTTGTTCAAGTGGTGGGTGCCTTTGTCAAATGAAAATGTTCTTATCCCCTTTGTCAGATGTAGCCCTGCACCAGAGCTCACACCCTGCTAAGTTGAGAGCTGGCTGGATGACAGCCCCAACACCTGCTCACTTGGCTGACATTTTTGTGCAGTGTGCACAGTGCACAGCTGTTCTGGCTCTTCCCAGCATCCCGGTGCTTTCTGTTATCTCTGTGCACTAATTCCCTACCTCTCTCTCCTGCATTTGATCTGCCCCATCACACTAGCCTTCTTGATATTCCATAGCCTGACAGGCATACCCCCATCTCGGCAGCTGTTTTCACTACCCCAGTCTCTCTCTGCAGGTATATCAGGTTCATTCCCTCACCTGCTTTAGGACTTTGATCAAAGGTCACCTTTTCAGTGAGGTATTCCATGGCTCCCTATTTTAAAATTGTACTCGTTGTACTCATTTCTTCCCCTACTTTCTATTTCCCTTCCTATTATTTTTTGTTTTTGTTTTTGTTTTTTTCTTTTTTTCTCTCTCTTTTCTATTCTTTTCTCTTTATTTTTCTTTATTCTTCTTTTTTTTTTTCTCTTTTCAAACCCTAGTGTCGAGGGCTGACTTTCAATAGATCGCAGTGAGGGAGCTGCTCTGCTACGCACGAAACCCCGACCCAGAAGCAGGTCGTCTACGAATGGTTTAGCACCAGGTTCCCCACGAACGTGAGGTGCGTGACGGGCGAGGGGG